TGGGCCGTGACAGCCTGTGACCCCGTGAGTGACCCACACTGGAGCAGTCTGTTCCTGAAGGACTGCAGCCTGTGGAAGGGACCTACACTGGAGCAGTTTGTGAAGAACTGCAGCCCATGGGAAGGACTCACATTGGAGAAGTTCATGGAGCACTGCATCCCATGGGAGGGACCCCATGCTGGAGCAGAGGAGTGTGAGAATTCCTCCACTTGAAGAGGAAGGAGCGGCAGAGGCAACATGTAATGAACTGACTGCAATCTCCATTCCCCTGCATCACTGAGGGGGAGGAAGTAAAGAATTTGGGAGTGAAGTAAAGCCCAGGAAGAAGGGTGGGGTAGGGGAAGGTGCTTTAAGATATTTTGGTTTGTTTTATTTCTCATTATCCTAATCTGATTTGATTGGCAATAAATTAAACTAATTTCCCTGTGTCTGTTTTGCCTGTGACAGTAACTGGTGAGTGATCTCTCCTTGTCCTTATCTTGACCTGCAAGCCTTTCATTATATTTTCTCTCCTCTGTCTAGCTGAGGAGGGGGAGTGGTAGAGCTTACTGTGCGCTGGCTTTGGCTCTAAACTTCTCTGTCTTGCAAGAATCCTACTAATTGTAGAACCTCCCTTCTTCATCCCCTCCCTCTCCAGAATCTCTGCTGAGCCCCATTATTGCTGTTATACATTGGATTCTTGCTTGGTTTTGCAGCATTCCTGATAGTCCTTGCAAGGTACTGACTGCCTAATTCTTTTTTTGGTTAAAGCTGTTCTTAGCAGAAAATCAGAGCTGAGAAGCAGATTGACATGAAACAGGGAAGATATGAAAGAGTTAAAAATAGAAGAGCAAGGAAGGAGAGGTGAAATAGATGGATATACCAGCACTTAACTGATGTTTGCTAATTATACAGAAAAAACCTTACAGTTCTGTGGCACTTCAGGCTGTTGTGGTGGTAGCTTTAACCACTGGGTAGTATTGCATAAATCTTCCAGACATACAAGGGAGTACTTACTTATTTCAGATTATTTTGTTGTGTTGGGTTTTTTAATTTTATTTTTTTTTGAACCCAGGTAACAAGTACATTTTTCTGCAGTATTGATCTTAGAGTTCAGTGACCCTTTCTGTGAGCCAAGTTGGCAGAATTATGCTGTGTTGTGTTAGTATTGCTCAGGAGCTAGCAAGAAGCTTCTGATGTCCAAGTGATTGGCATCAGTGTCTGGGAATGTGTAACCCTGAGTTCTCATGAGAGGATGGCTCCATGTTTCCACTCGTACAACTGCCTGTTGATTTGACCTGTATGCATCAGCATCTTATGCAATTTTTTTCTTTGTTTTACCTGGATAAATGTTTATATGAACTCTGGTAACACACTTTGCATGTATAAACACAGATTTGTAGGTCTGTACAGCTGCATGTAATACAGGAGGTGGAGAAGGAGCTTGTATTAGGATGGGGAAGAGCAGAGTGCAAGTCTGAGGAACACCTTCATTTCTGCAATATTTATGTTTTTAAAGATCACCTCAGGATCTGAACTGTTGCTGTATGTGACTGTACCAACTGCTAGTGAAGCGCGCTATTTTACATCCTAAGAAAACCTAGAAAGGCAAACAGGGAAAAAAACCAAAACCACAGAAGAGATTGAGTGGAGAGGAGGTTTGGAATCAAACTCTTGAACAAACCAGGAGTTAGTGCCATTGTGCTACAGTCAGACTCATGGCTCATGGTACACTTCTATGTGGGTTCTTGTTTATGATACTCTGTTTGTTTTGTACATGCTAGCGTCCCCTCTTCGCTTAAATGAACTGAAGTGCGTAGCAGCTAAAATAAAACTTGTCTTATTTAATCACTAGTGTGCTTTTATTACAGGACTTCTTCAAGCAAGAATTCCCTTTTGTAAATAACAACCCCTTGAAAACAAACTTGTGTTACTTTTTATGCCATTCATGTTACAAACGGAAGATTTCAACTGTTATAAGCTTGAAATGGATGAGTAGTAGAAAATTGAAGGTATCCACAAAATGCAGTTTTCTTCTATAAGCTATCTAGTCAAAACAAGTATTTGTTTGCTTTATTAGTAATAGTTGCTAAGTATCTTTTAGTGAATCACAGATGTAGTGTTTGTGTGCTGTAGTGATGTGTTTTTAGTAGATTTAGTGAATTTTTGTAAGAAACAAGGTTTTGAGTAATGAAATGCATTGTGATGTTTCAGCCCTGAGTGTTGACATGAACTTTCTTAAAGGACTCTGGTTTATTTATTGAAGCTGTCTTGCTCATTAGAAGGACATCTTCTTACGTGGGCTGTTAACATGAAGTTAAGTGTGTCTTTCCTCCCTTCTTTCATATAAATGAGCTCTTTGGGTAGTGAGCTGCTCTGAGAGAGACCTAACCTTTGGAAACAAAGCAGGCCAAACAAAGCAACTCTAACTTCTACAGTACAAAGCTGGGGTGTGCTGAGGAATCTGAAGGATGGCTATAGGTTGTGTTTGGTTTTTTCAGGGATGGTGGATTGGTCAAACCTGTGAGGTTCATATTAAATGTCTATTGGAAAACCAAAACACACAATGTTAGCCTGTGGGTGTTTTCTAGCCACCATTAAAAGTTGTGGTTGAGGACATTAGTTGACTTTTCATGAGATTGACTCTTTAACTGACACTTCTGACTGTTGGAAACTTAAAAAATGGCTGCTTGGCTGATGATGGACTTGCCCCCTGGAAACTGGTCTTGTTCTTACTACTACTTACAAGGTGATAACCTGCTGTGAAGCACATATGAACTTCTCACAGTAGCATGTTCTGGCATGTCCTGGGGGGATAGGAAGGGGAAAAGACCCAAATATTTCAGTGTCAGCAGCTGAAACATTTTTGCTTGTCTAAAACTTGATTCTTCATTCTTTAGGTTTTACTTTGTATCTAAAATAGAGGCTTCCTGTTGCATAAAGACAAGGGGGTTGCTTGCATGCAGGCATTTGGGAGTGTTAAGTGAATTAACTAAAAGTGTGAAGATAAAGTGGATGCTTTTAAAGCATGTTAAATACTTGTGTGGATGCCTCCATTTAGACATAAAATGGCTTTAGTTCCCATAGCTTAATCCTCCTTCAAATGGGATTAAGCCAAAGTGAACATAAAGCAGATTAAACTCCTGTGTGGACATTAACATAAGTTAACTTATCTTCCCTTTCCTGAATGTCCTTTTACACCATGCCCTTCAAGATGTTTTTAGGAAGTGGAGCTCTTCAGGCTTTATTAAAGCTATAACTAATTTGAGTATCTGGAATTTGGTATTTCAGAATAACCGCTGCACTCCATTGACAAGGATAATGCAGAGTCTCCTAACAAATAACTGTCCTTTGAAAGCATCAACAGCATGAGGAGGAGATAATGGGCTAATGAGGAATACGCATACACGCAGGCTTAGAACATAATGGACTGAACTATTTTTTACCATTTACTGGCAAGATAGCATACCAAAGTTGTATTGATGTTTTCCTATAATCATAGAATGTAGTCTCAGAAAGGTTGAAGTAAGAAGAGACCAGTGGAGGTCATCTAGTCCACCTTCCCTGCTCTAGGAGGGCCACCTACAGCCAGTTGCCTGTGACCATGTCTAGATGGGAACGTTCCCATTGACAGGTCTTTGCAATTTGCCTTTTCTGAGATGTGCTTCTGAACCCAAGGACCCTGCATGGATCATGCCCCACTTCAAGCCCCTGTGGGGTTTGACAGTTAAGTAGCATGGCAGGATCTGTGCCTTCATAACCATAGAAACAAGAAAGCTAAGTTGTGTCCAAATAAGTTGTAGACTATTACATCTGGTTTTGGGCTGTGTTATGTAATAGCAGTAGCAGTATGTGGGCTTTGGTAGCAGCTGCAACGTTAACAAACTTTTAAATAGAGCACTGCTCATGTATGTGGCTTTTTTCAGGCTTTAATAGGATCACAGGACAGTTCAGGCTAGGAGGGACCTCAGCCGGTCTCTGGTCCAACCTCCTGCTCAGAGCACATCAGCCCTGAGGTCAGACTGGGCTGCTTAGGGCTTCTTCCAGTCAGGGCTTCAAAAACTGTGAGGATGGAGACTGCACAGCCTCTCTGGGCAACCTGTCCCACTACCTGACTGTGCTCATGGGCAAAAAGCCTCTCCTTGTATCTGTCTCTGTCTCCTCCATGATCTTCCCCCAGGCACTGGAGGCTGTTAGGTCCCCCTGAAGTCATCTCTGCTCTAGGCTGAACCAGCCCAGCTCTCCAGCCTCTCCTCTCAGGCCTGTACTCCAGCCCTACCATCTCGGAGGCTTCTGCTGAAACCCATCCAGTTTGTCAAAGCCTGTCTTGTGTGGCCTGGGCTCAAAGCTGGATGCAGTATCTAAATGAGGGCTTTCTTGGCTTACTGTCAGTCCTGTACTTTGAGAAATTGTGCAACGTCAGCGCTGTGTAGCAGCTGATCTTGGGAAGAACTGGCAGTCTTCAGGACAGGTTCTTAAACACCTTCTCCCCTTAAGGGGGAAAGCTGTGGTTTCCTTAATTGTCACCTTTCATTCTTGGGGACCAGAGTGTTGATTCATGGTTGTCAGGATAAGCAGCCACTCTGCTTGGAGCAGCTGAGGCAAAGCTAAGACAGGGTGAAGTGGCTCCCTGCAGCCATGATAACAGGGCGAGCTGTGCTCCCTTCTCATGTAGTCCAGTTTCCCCAGAGCGTTAGTAGGAACTACACAGCTTTTTACTTTAAAGGGACAAAGAGTTTTTTAGAAACACTCTTTTGAGCACTCTGGAATTGACTTATTCTCCGCTTCCAGTTCTGGTGCTTTGTTCATATGGTTGTTTTTTATTATTATTATTGGCCAAGCCTAAAGACCATGATTTAGCACTTACCAGAATAAATGTTTGCAATGTGAATGCTGCTTTTGCTTTAAAGGTGCCCTTAGGCAATGGGAATTTGGAGTGAGAAAGTACCTTTTGTTTTGGTGGTGACCTTGTTGAAACAAACTCTGCTGTAGACTTATTTTCAGGCTTCTTCTTTTGTCAGGATGTTTGTCCAGGTATGCCTGTACTTCTACTGCAAATGTTTGTGGCGCTGCCTGAAATTCGTGGTCAGGAAACTAACAGGTCGATGTGAATTGCAGAGGATCTGTTACAACACCAAACCTGGAGCTGCCAGAACTATGAAAATAGGTAACCAAAAAATACTTAGTTCTGCATGCCTTTGTACCTTTCTGCATGTGCTAAAAATAGTATAACTTTGTTCTTATAAATAAATTGCTAAATGAATCCAGTATAAACTACTTAGCTTGTCTGACACGATGCATTCAAATATTGTTCTCTTACAGAGGCATCGCTGAAAGGCTCAAAAAGTAAGGTGAGTGAAAAATCTCATAATTCACATCTTCTGTTGTGTTCTGCGCAGTTGGTTTGTTCAATCTGCTGTTTGCTTACCCCAAAAAATCACTTTAAGGTTGGATATAATTTTACAGTAAAACCCCTGTCAACTGAAGAGGGTCTTGTGCCCACAGTAGCAGGTGATCTTGCAAATTCAGGAAGAGGGTTTTGTGCCTCAGGGACAGGCACACTGTGACACTGATGGAATCAAGGGGGCAACAGGCCTTGGTGGAGATGAGGGTGATGTGTTGCAATTTGGCATTTCTTGGCTTGATTCCTCATCCTGTCTTAGAATTTCTGTAATCTGCAGTCACACACTTTACAACTCAGGGTTTTTTTTTGTCTGGAAAGTAGGGATAAAAGAGGCTGAAGGCAGCAGTACTTAGATAGCCAAGACAACTTTGTTCTCTGCTTTCTCTTTAAATACATTAATGGAGAAGAGCCTCTGTCCCTTAATCCTTTCACTGTAGCATTGGTTGTGCTAACCTAAATTCTTTCCACAAAGCATTTGTGTATATGCTAAATAGCATCATTCAGCCATTCATTTCTCTTTGTCATGAAAATCACTGATGTTAAAAGCCTACCTCAGCTTTAGCAAAAACAGTGCCACATAGCTCATAGTTCAGCACGGTGCTTCCAAATGTACATCTAGCACTAACAGAAAGGCAGAATCTTTTTTAAAAGTGTGCATTTAAGCAATTGTGTAGTTTTGAGACAAAGCACCAGAAAGTTCAATCTTTTAATTTTTTGGAAGGCATGTTGACTTTTGAATACTGAACTTTCAGTGGCGTCACAAAATGCAATGACATGCAAGAGAAAGGAAAAATGTTTTACTGTGTTACTGCAATGTGTTGGGAGAGGGAGTGTCAAATGAAGACTAGCAATTCCAGTAATAATAGGTGGATGGTCTGGAGCTGCTTCTTGATCAAAGGCCTCAAGTGCAGATCATCTTCACTGACAGCCGCCCCAGAAATGCAATGGACTGGCTACAGAGGCGTGGCAAAGCGACACAACTTCATATAAGGCTAGTGCTCTGAACTAGTCAGTAGGGCTGAATAGACTGGAAAGGTGTGTGTGTATATATATATTGAATTGGGTCTTCTGGACTCTTAATCTTGAAGATTTTTGGATATCAAATTTACCATTGTTAGTTTCAATTGAATAATAGCTTCCATAAGAATTAATATGTGCTTAAAACCTCTTTTTAGCGGCTGCAAACTTCAGTAAGTGTTCATCCTGATGCTATTGAAAAAACTATAGATGACATCATGGAGCTGAAAAGGATTAATCCAGATATAAATCCACAGTAAGTTCATGGTTTCATTACGAAACAAATGGGAATTATTGATTTCGTCAGTGCCTAGGTCCGTGGAGAACTGGTTCACACATTTGAGGATGAATTCTATCTCTCAGCATAAAATTCCCACTTAAGCTTTACTGTCAAAAAGCTGATGGAAAAATGAATGATCTTTTAAGGTGACTGTAATAGGCAAGTCTTGAGTCTCCTTATCTGAATCGTGCTGTCTTAGTATATTGTTGATGCATTGATTTATGGGGGCCACTTCCCTAGTGATAAAATACAACCAAGGCAGGCGGTTCTGGCAGTGACAGTGATGGCTTCTTAGAAAGGCTGTTTGTAGTCTTTTGGGTAGGACAGAAATAATCCTGTTGTAACTGACATAAACAGTATACTGGTTTACATTTTATAACTGCCTTTGATTATCCAAACACAAGTTTTAATGATACAACATAGCTGATTTCTTTTGATGCTGCAAGATGTTATTTGTAAGAACAGATTGACAACAAACCATTAATTTACAAGCACATATTTCAAAGGTAAGTGATAACATATTTGTGGTTGCCTTATCTCTCAGCCACTATCTTAAGGCACAAGAAGGCCACAAGATGGTAGGAATGTGTGGGAGAAATGTTGAGAGTTGTATTATTCAGGTGACCAGTCTGAGGTTCACTCTTCCTCCAAAACTTGAAAATTGTGTACATAATCGAAAATGAGCATCCAAAAATTGATAGCTCCTTTTCTTTAAGTGGTCAGCGGCATGAGCAGGTAAGGTGGTCCCAAGGTCTTGCTCCAACAAAAAAACAAAAACTCAGTTGGAAACACATTTTTTTTTTGGTCTCATTACAGGAATTACATACTCAGCCCTACCCCCCAGTGAAAGGGACAGTAACTGGGTAGTGTTAAAATAAGGCTTCAGTCTTTCTAACTTGAGAGACAACTGTTGTGGACATGACCACTGTCCACCTGTTTTGAAAAAATGGTGACCCAACCATTAAAGAAGGGAAGAAAATAAGAGAGGAAAACAAACAAACAAACAAACAAAACCCCACCAAAGAAAACACCTCATTCTCACAGATGTAGGTTTTCTGGGGTGATCTTTTCTAGGGGTGTTGTTTCACAGGACCTTACCCACATGACCTTCAAAGGGCGGGTGATGAAAGAGCAGCTGCTTCGAGTGGATGGGAGGCCATGCTGAGGAGCTGCCCATCTGAGGAGAGTGCCACAGCTTTGGTAGTTTTGTGTTGCACAGGATGCTAATAGATGAAATTTAGAACAAAAACAGTAATAGCAAAATTAGTGAAGGTGACATATGAGGAAAAACTGTGGGATGTAAATGTGCACAGCTCAGAGCCTGGCCTGTGGACATCAGTAACTGCAGCGTTAGCAATCAGACTGATTCAAGTCCTCACTTCTCAGTCTTGGACCCTTGGTTAACTGCATGGAATGATTCCAAGAAAAAACAAGGAATTCATTAAAATAGTATTTTGTATGATGCTGGATCACCATCTGATTCTCCTCGTGTCATTGCCTTTGGCCTCTGAAGAAACGCTGCCTTTCAGAAGAGAGAGAGTGCAGAGGTGCAAATGACTTCTGCTTGCTTGAATCAGGCCACTGAACCTTAAGTTGCATTTTGAGTGATCTGGTCCTAATATTAAAATGAAAAGAATTAAATAAAATTTAAAAAACCCAAACAAAAACAAAACAAAAAATGCACAAAAAAAGCCAAAACAAACAAACAAAAAAACATTTAAAAACCCCCACCAACCTAAACCACGCTAAACTATTTTTTTTTTAAATCCAGGTGGTGCTCATATGCTTAGCACAGAATAAATGATGTTTTTTGGACTAGAACCCATGCACTCAACATTTTACAGGTCTGAGTTTTCACCAGCCCACCCACTACCCCAGCTCCTAATTTGGTGAAATATCTCTTTAAAACAGTGAGAAATAAGAGCCTGGGATGTGCCAAGTGGTGCCACATACGTAGAAACACACCCTGCCACTAAATTGCTCTTTATATTGAATTAATTGCAGTTCTGCTAAACTTTAAGCAACTGCATTGAAGCTTTACATGTGAGCCATTTACTTTATACTACATTTTTCTGGAGAAATTTCAGCAAAAGCAGGTTAGCTATTTCTTTAGACAGTATTAAGAGAAAATCCATTAGCTTGTCTACTCTTGAACATAGAAAACCAACTGCATCTGAACTGTCTTGCTCAAAAGGTCTGACCTTCTCTTGCAGAGTAGAGACTTGAAATCTCCTGGAGTGAGGACAAGGGACTGTATGTCATAGAATCAGAATGGTTTGGGTTGGAAGGAACCTTATAGACCTATAGAACCTATAGAACTTTATAGTTCCAACCCCTGCCATGGGCAGGGACACTTTCCACTGGATCAGGTTGCTCAGAGCCCCATCCAAACTGGCCTTGGTCAGTATGTCTCATACTATATGTGTTCCTGCAAATCTGTATGCAGTCATTTTTTGTTACTGTAGCATCTTTGCAGAGCTGAACCAGCACCCCAGGGGGATTTGTACAGAGCCGTTCTTGAATTCTATGGGCTGCCATCACCTAAAGAGAGGGATGCTCTTTACTAATGCCTCTGAGATATCAACAGTGTGTATGTTTAGTGGTGGGAGCAAGTGGGTTGAACAACCAGATGGTGACAGGTGCAGTCTACACTAACTATGGTAGTGGTCCATGAAGCACTTCCAGCTTTGGACTCACCTCCATCTCATGGAGCAGTTGGAGCTGAATGAGGTGGGAGTACAAGCCCAGGCAGGTTGCTCCTGTGCTCTGAGAACTGCCACTGTGAGCACCAGAGTGGCAGGGAGGAGGCTTGGGGCATCAGCAGCTCACCTGTGTCCTCTGTTTGGTGCTGCTGGGGAAGGAGAACAGCAAGAGCTTCGTGAAAAGGAGAGTGGGGAAACTAATTGCCCCTGCCCCTAGTAATATCGCACAGAGCATTTGACTGGCTTTAGATAAACTGCAAGGATTGCTTGCTTTGTATAGGTTGTACAACTTGGAACTTAAAAATATACATTATTTTTTAAATATAAACTTGCTCTGCTTTGCCACTGCCTGTGATGTTCTGGATGTTCTGTTCTAAACTATTCTGAGGTTATCGAGTAGTTAAAAATATTATGGCTATAGTTTAGTGGTGCACTACAGCAATTCTCAACCAGTCTTGTCAGGCTTTTCAGCTTTCTTTGAAATGCAGGCTTTCTGTAAAACTCTAGGGTATAACAAGTGAAGCATGTAAAAAAAAACCAACCCAAAAAACCCAACATCACAACCAAACCAAACCAAAACCAAAGAGCAGCAAAGAAGGGAAAGCACTGCATAGGTTATTCCAAAAGGGTTACAGACACAAATAGCGTTAAATTGCAGCAAGAGAAGTGGCCTAATGATGATGACACCTCTGACTCTGTAGATTAATCTCAAGAAAAGAAGCAGTGAAGATCCTTCTGCTCAGAAAATTTAACAGTATTATGGAATAAACAAAATGTTTCAGTATATCAAGCAGGACAGGTGAGGAACCTGTGCAGTTTAGTATCAGTGCAGTCTGTGTTTCACAGAGGAATGAGGTTACAGATCTAACCGTGCCCTCTGAATTCATACTAGACATTCAGATAACTTCAGACATTATTAAAAATTAAAGGCTTTATTCCCATATATAATTAAATATTCTTATAAGTGTGGTAGTTGTGTGCTTCCTAGTTTGTAATTTAAAGCCTTGGAAGCCACATGTTTTTGGTTTTTTTTGGAGGGGGCGTTGTTTTTTTGGTTTAATTCTTTTGTTTAACAGTGCATCAGAAAATGTAAAAAGGAAACACAAAATTTGCATTATAATGAAAAGAAACAATTATGGTGATTCTTAACATGAGACTGGGGAAAAAAAAGCTGCCTAGAGGCAGATCTTTGAACTATATTACTTCGGGTTTTTGGCTGCTTTATGCAAGCTTTTGTGGCATGGAAGCAAAATGAATATTTTTAGCTTTTTGCCGAGTTTTCCCCCTCACCCCTTTTTAAGTTCACATCTCTGGTCTCAGGGCATTGTTTGAGAATCTGCCATTTGAATGAAGGGAAAGATTAAGTGATGTGCTTGTGTAGGAGGCATTCAATGCTGCTTTGTATAATTATGTTGAGATTTCAATGTGTAAAAAATCACAGTTCAAAGATATTTAAAATCCCAAATTTTATTATCTTAAGGCGGGCACTAAATATGACTGCATTTTACAAGGCCTTCTTTAATGTAATATTGATCTCTTGGAAATTCTCCCATTGATTAAAATGTTAAACTATCAATTAATTGATGTAACATTACTCATGTGAATTAAATGTGTATGTCCATGGTAGTGCTGTTTCATGGTTAACATATGATTGAGCTGGATTATGGTGCTCCTTCCTCTCCTCCCCCTCAGGCTGGGCATATCTCTTCAGGCCTGCCTGCTGCAGATTGTGGGGTACAGAAATCTGATTGCAGAGGTTGAAAAGCTGCGCAGAGAGCCGTATGATTCAGAGAATCCGCAACATGAGGAAATGCTTCTCAAGGTAGGTGCTTCCTGTATGACCTAGTCTAGATGATCCTGCTCTGGCAAGGGGGTTGGACTGGATGATCTTTCAAGGTCCCTTCCAACTTCTAACGTTCTGTGATTAGGAGGTACTTACAGGGCATCCTTTTATTCATGCCAGCTCCAAATGGCTTGGTTTAAAAAACCTCTTTGAAACGTTGAGAGGTATTATTGTCTTCCACTATCATGTACCTGGTTTAAGATTAGGCTATACAGCACATTAATCTAATCAGGGTGCAACACCTGCCAAACAAGCAGCTCATCCCCTGGTTGATGAATCCATGTCCCTGGGCTGGACTATGTCTAGGCACTGGATATCCAGCTATTACTGCAGATGACAACTCTGCACTATGAGCTCTGGAAAAGTAGGCATATGTCCTACTTCAATGCACATTTCTTCACAATGAGATAGGAATTAATTTCTCTTAACCAGAATAAACATTTTTTCCTATATTTCGTGGATTTTTGAGGACATTGCCTGTGTATCCCAATGGCAAACCTCTAACTTACAGTGTGGGATGGAAGATTAGGAGATAACTTATACTTTTACATTTAATAAATAGATTTTCAAATGAAAACAAAATGAAACCATTCTTTAAATAATACATGTACAGCAATGAAAACCAAACCAATTAGGTTTTACATGCTTCATGCTTTCTGGAAAGTCTTGTACTGGAGCAGATAGTAAAAGTATTTTTTTAGGAAGGTGATCTTGAAACCATAAACAGAGGGAGAGCTAGAGAGCTCTTATATTAGAAAAGTATTTATAGAGGTGAGAATAAAGGGGGCGGAAAATAGTCTAATAGTTAAGTCCCAATATTTATCCTGGTCCTATTTCTGAATGTAGCTAGTGCAATTTGCTTTAGTGAAATGGCAAGAAATGTAGAATAGTGATATATTAGCTTACTTACAAATAAAATGCCTTCTTACAGATTTTTCAGAGATCTTATGAAAACACACCACCTTTTAAAAATATTTTTAACAGAAATATTGAACACTTAAACACTTGCTTTGCTTCTGTCCCCATCCAACTTTCTGCGTTAGGATTTTTACAGCACATGGTCATGAAGCTGTCTTCCATTCTGCAGCTTGTATTGTAGCACCTTAAACAAGTTACCTGGAAATGTTACCTTAGTTACTTGGTCTTCCAGGCACTTCTAAAAATACCACTAGTTATCTTATATAAGCACTTCCAAATGCAAATAATTATTTCTAAAAAAATGCCTCAAATGGTCAAAAACCTCCTGTAGGTTTCTGGAAAGCTGTGTTTAAAGATTGGCTCTGTGTTGGGAGGTGGGAGCCTGGCCCAGGAGGAGTCAAAATTCAGAGCTGCACCCAAAGGTTTGTTTTAGCCACCAGGTGGGATGGGGCAGATGGACTCCTCTTGTTCAGGTTCAGCCAAAAGCACAAATTCTGGGGCTAGAATCATGTCCGCAATGATGTGTAATCATGTATGTGCTTTAAAAACATACATGCAGGAGAATAAAAGCAGAGTGGAAACTGTCGATTTGTCTGAAGGGAGATTAAACAGTGCAGCTTATGCTGTAGAATTTCTAATGTTGAAGAAAGTATCGGTTTCACCATCTGCCTCCAGTGTAACCTGTGTATTAGCACTTGTTTACAGCAAGCATTTTGGCTTTTGCAAATTCTCTTGTCAAATGGAAATATGTCCAAGGGTTTAATTCGGTTTCCAACCCATGCTGGGGAAGAATAGGCTGCTTGGTTATCATTCCTTCTAGATATTCTGCTAAGTGATCTCTGCAGTGGGTAATTCGAGTTCCTAATGTTTATCATTTATTCATGTTTAGCAGGAGGGCACTTTATGAATGACAGAAAGACTAACTTAATGTGATTGAACTAATGAATAATATTGTATTTACTGTCAATGGATGAACAAGAGAGATAGCAAATATGATTACACAATGAAGCTTTATGCAGTCATTACAAAGTGTAATCATTAAAGTTTTAATCTTTCTTAGGCATTCTATTTTAAATGTGGTTAGAATTGCTAAAATTAATACAATTTCTGGGTTGTTTATTTGGGAAATGTGTATACAGCTTTTTTCCTTGGGTAGGCTCTGTCTAAGTGCATTTCTTGAGGCCCTACTCACAAACTCACCGTTTATGGAGAACACCTGATTTTTTAATAAATACACTTTAGAATGGGTGAGTTTGTGGTAAGGCACATGAAGTGTGTGGAAAGATATGTATTTGTCAGACATATGTCAATTTGGGCTGCTTTTAGGTGCCTAACAACATGGTATTTAGGGACTAAATTCGCTGGACCAGTGCAGCTGAGTGGATTTATTCCAGCTGAGGATCTGGCTTGTTAAATCACTTTGTCTTTTTTTTATGTGAGATCAATGAATGATTCACCCCTTAGTTAAATATGAAGGTGGCAAATGCTATTATCGTATGGATTATTTTTTTTATGTTCTCCAATTTGCTTTTCAGCACTGTGGTAGCCAAGTCAGCACTCTTGATTTATAACCCTTCCAGAGATTTGCAAAAGATGCTGGAGAAAAGATTGCTGCAGAGCCTCAGGGACCTGCGGTCCGATTGCCTGCTGCTCTGTCAGTGATTTACAACTACATTCCAGCCCATTGCTGTCTCTGAGCTTATGGAGGCAGACGTTAGTTTGATGCACAAAGCGTGAGCAAAACGAGTCCTTGTGCGAGATGTTACAGCAGCTGCCAATAAAGTCGGAACAGCCTTGTAGGGCTGAAAAGTGGTTTGGGGTTTGCCACCCCTCCTCACTCTCAGAAATTTGATTTTACATTTGGGTTGCTGGGAGACCAATGCAGTGATGTTACATCAGAACTTAGCTTGGTTTAAAAAGAAAAAAAAAACTGTACCAATGTGTGGAAGTTTAATTATGTTTTACCTGTAATCTGCCTAGTTGTGGAAATGCTTGAAGCCCAATTCGCCGCTGAAAGCTCGGATTTCGAAGCAGTGGTGTGAAATTGGTTTCCAAGGTGACGATCCTAAAACAGACTTCAGAGGGATGGGTCTTCTGGGCTTATATAACTTGGTGTAAGTATGTTCCTCTGTAGAAGGCTTTATGTGTGTCTGAAGTCATGAAAAGCAGCATTACTTGCAGATTTTTAGCAAGTCTGTGGGAATAATTCATAAAAGTGTTAGGGACTTCATATAGAAAACTGAAATAATTTATTTTCTAGCCCAATTGCTGGAGGGTTTCCCTTCTCAAAGGGGTCTCCTTTCTTTAAGTATTCCTAATTCAACTCAGCAATACCACTTGCTAAGTCCTTTTTTTAGTTTCTCTGTGACACAGCAAGTTAGCATTCTCTTCCCGCAAGAATGAAACTGTAAATTATATTTTTACCAATATCTAGATCTCCTTAAACAAAAAGCCTTGGAAGTGGGTAGGTGAGAGGGTTATGTTACTGCTCAGCTTTCTTGTTTGGGAATTTCATGCTGAATTCTTAGGCAAAACACTTTGAAACGCATCCACTGATGGCAGACTTCTGTAGCTGGATGACTACTCAAAATTAAGCAGTGAGTTTACATCACTTTTCTCTTCCACCTCATGCACACCAGGTGTTGGTGCCATATCTGTGGTTGGTAATTTGGGAATTGATCAATGCCTGTTATTTCCTCCAGCCCTTGCGTCTACTGCAGGTAGTTACGTAACTTAAAAACATTTGGTAAAATAGCCTCTCTCTATGAGGGGAGAAAAATATTTTCTGCTTTTACAGATTGAAGGACATAAATCATCCGCTGTCCGTATGTCATTCTTTATCAAAGCTCAGTTGAGTCTCTGGACTCTTGACTCTGGCTTTGAACTTCCATTGGTGATGAGTCCCTACCATGTATTTCATTTTTTAGTCTCCTGTGATGACTCTTATCTTGCTAAATGACTCTGCCAGATCAAGAAGCCTGAACTGCTTTCTCTTGAGCTCAGCAGCCAACATGCTCTAGTAATAAGCAACTGATTTTCTGTAGGATGGGTAGAAAGGGGACTCCAGTAATGCAAGTTCACTGAGCGCTTATAGGATTGCACTTGTAATTTGAGACTGCTTTTATTTCGGGGGTCTGAGTGGTAGCTTAATGAATTTAACATGTTAAATGCTACTCAAACTGCATAACACATATAGTGACCTTTAAAAGGGTGTATATGGACAGCTTAGTATGACTTAAGATGCTTTTTTTGTTGTGCTTCTTTAACAACTCACCCTAAACATGTATCTGCAGGTATTTTGCCGAATGGGACACCGAGGTAGCTCAGCAAGTTCTCTCTGATTCTCTTCAGCCTAAGTACAGGTAATAACTTGAGAGAGCACTGTGCTGGCTGGTGTTCACGGGTGGGGGCTGTTTGGTTCGTTCTTTATGTTGGGCATATGCTTGGGTATTGCCACATGCTATCTGTTTTCAAGTACTGGTCCTGAAAACTAATGAAGGCCAAGAGGCAAACTTCTATACTGAATCTTAGAAACAGTTAAACTTTCTGTTAAATATTTTCACTTATACTTCTAATTTCAAGTGATTTTGTATTTTTATTTACCTTTCTTTTAATTCTTTTTTCTTTTCATAATAAAGGGAAGTCACTAAGAAGGAACTAAGGTATTTTTTTTTCTTTTCTCTTAGTTTTATGAAACCCTACATGTAAATAAAGATCAAATCATACTGCAGTTTGGTGTGTTATAAACTTGAAAGTCTTTGTTGCAAAACCAAGAGATCTGTACTCCTCTCTCTAAAATTTACTCAAATATAGGTGATGGTGCAACACAGGGTACATCTGAGCATGTTTACATGTAAAGAATTAAATAAGCCTTGCTTGATGTAGCTAAAGCGCTGTATTTTATACCTATTTTGTACCAGGCTTGATGAACAAATTTTGGGTGACTGTCCTTTGGGAAAAAGTCTAAGCAGTGCCACTGTGGTCACAACAGCTGTGACTGACTTGATAATCAAAAGTAGTCTAGGTCAAGGACTTGTTAGCACAGCTGGAGAGCCCCTTTATTTATAGTCACTTACTCTGTCTGCCTTGAGTAACAATGGGTCTAACCTGGCTTGCCCTTTGTCCTGACTTCTGAAAAATCGGTTGCCTTCAAGTGGCAAAAATTTTGTGTTGTGAATGATTTGTGAATAGGATAATTATTCTGTAATTATTAGGGGAAGAGGGGGATGCCTCTTAGCCAGTTACATAGTAACCAATTCCCTCAAAAGACATTTTTGCTCTGCCAGTAATGTTAGATAACCATATAGCAGGTCCCCATGAAGCTTTTGATCTCAATATTTTGTGATTGAGTCCCCAGTGGTGATTCTGTGACAAAAAGCACTTGGAAGACATTGGTGTTCTTCATTTATATGTTTGATTACCAGGGACTGTCTTGGGGTGCTGTGTGAGCATGTGCATTTTCTATCCCTTGCAAGAGCATTCAGTAGAAGATAGATGCTGCTGGTGGTGCCCATGGTGTTCTTCCTAGTGTGGTTGCTTAGCAGCCATGCTGGTTTCTGATGTGATCGTGATCAATGTGATTTTTATTTCTGTTGAACCATATTGCTTGTCCACATCCTACATGTGTCACCATTATTAATCCATGTTTGCTTGGGATTTTTGAACTGATGTTATACCACAGCCTACAAAGATGGTTAAGATTTTAGAGAATGAATGAAGACTGATGTATTCATGTACACTAAGCCGTTTAGGAGGTGAAGTTTTGTCTTTACATGTGCCACCTGATAACACTCCGATCAGGATGGGTATGAACCTATTAGCATCCTTACTAAATGACAATTTTTCAACGCTATATTTACATGAAGCACAGGGAATTGTTTTTAGTGTAATATATACTTATTGTAGTTCAAGTCCAGTCTAAGAACAGTGCTGTCACACGTAACTGTTTATAATTTGGTTTCTAAAGTTTGTAAACTCTGATCTGCCTTTGCATGGCAAACTTTCACAGGTTTGTCTAAGTTGTAGCCCACTGGTTAGGGTTGGTTCTGTGCCTGTTTTTAGCTGGTGATAAATGCAGGCAATGATTTGTACTAAACTTGCTCCATTTGAGTAGATTGAAACCTGATTAGTGGGATGTCGATTGATTGGTTGCATCACACAGCTCTTTTAAATGAAAATGTTGTTGAACAGCAGAAATTTAAAATCAATCTGTTCCCTAAGTAATTTGTTTTAAGTGAGAGACATTCTGTGTCCGTGAAGAGCTCTGCATTATTGTGCCAAATACTGTTCCTTATTTTTGGCTGTTGAGTGGTTTCCAATTTGACTGGACATAAAGACTTTCTATCAGTGGAGTATTTTTCATGTTTGCTGCCTCAGGTGATTCATGCCTCCAGTGATGAGTGTCATGTACATCTTTGAAAACACAAAAGGCTAAAACTTAAACATTTAATATTTTCAACTTTTTGTATAGCTCAGGCTTAATTGAAGTAGATCATCCTTGTGGTCAATATAGAAAATAGCTGGCTTTTACCAAGAGCACTGACGTAGTCACATACTTCGTAATGATGAGACAAGTTTATCAGCAATGCTATAAATCCAGTTGCCCATTTCAAGTCTTTATAGCAATCCATTCAGTCAGAAGCAGAGTTAAATGTGATTAGCCATATCAATGGATGTAAAAGATCATGTTCAGTCAACGTTATACTATTTAAGAATTTGAAAGAAAATATTTGTCAGTAATGCGTGGCAATATCTGGATTTTAATTAATTTTTTTTCCCCTCAGCCAATTCAGCAAAGCCGAATGGGAGAAGAAAAAGTTTGATAAGGCCATCGGGTAAGTTTAAAAATATTTTTAAAATTGCCACAAACACAACAGTTAACACTGATGGTGAATGTTTGAGGGGGAAAAGGTGTTTCCTGGTTACTTTTTAAAGGAAATTTCAGTGTATATGCTAACATGTATTGTCTTAACCACACCTTGTTTTTGATCAAAGATTACAGGAAAAATGATTTGAAGTAGGAATTAGGAAAAATAACCCGAAAATGTAGCAAGGAGAAGCTTTTTCTCTATGCTATGAATAGTGCAGTAATGACTATCTGTTTAATTCTTAACACATAACGTGATTAAGTCTCACTTCTTACTGTCAGAGCCAGGTTCTGATCTGCTTTCAGGAAAATATAATAGGGAATAAATAGTTGCAAGGTTTTTGTTTTGTAACCAGTGGGTTTGGTATAGCTGCATTATTCATGAGTATGGAACTGGATGTTCCTTCAGAGTGCATCTGAAAATCTGTAATACAACATTTTAATGCCCGTATTTTATTTTTCTGTGAAACTTGCCATTAGGCCTCACACTGCAGTTAACTGCTGGACTTTTATTTATTATTTTTTCCTCCTGAAATGTATCAAAGGTTAAAGAAAAGGAAAGTATTTTGGTATGCTTGATAGAGATAATTGAAAAAATACCGAGGACAGTCGACAGAGGACAGCTTTGTTTAGAGGAGGAAGAAAAAAATCTCTGAATAACTAGAAAAGTTTGCTTGTATCACTAAATGTCAGTGTTGGGACATTATATGTTTTCACAGGAAATAGTCACTGCCAGAAATGTCAAGTTCTTTATGAAACAGGCTCAGAAATGAAGAAATAACTTCCAATTTCTGAGTTTTGTTGTGCCTAAATATACCTTCCTTGTTGATATCTCTTAACAGGACTGGGGTTTGCTTCATCAGTCTGATTTTCTTTCTGTTTCCAACATGTTCTGATTTGGGTTTTTAGCTGTTTTTCTGGCCTGTGTATCTAGTTGTCTCTTAGGAAGAAACTGAAGGTGATTCAGCTGGATCTTTTTCACAGGCTTTTTAGCCATAGTAATGTCTTTCTAGGACTGGTAGTTGAAAGCTGGTGATCCTAACTGTGGGTAGTGAATTCCAGTGGGGCAGATGGGTTAAAGTAGTGGGTGATGTGTCACCCTGCAGACACAGTCACTGTGAGGAGTGCTTGCTCTGTGCCAGAGGTGAGCACAGGGATGCCTGGGCTGGTTCTTGTCCCATAGGAATCAACCTGTGCTGCTCCCATGAAAATGTTGGCCCAGTGATGAAACTCCTGTTTTTCCTATGTTTCACAAGGGAAACACTGACATTAGAGAGTACAAAGCAGGTGGAATAAGTGTTTGTCTTGTTTTCCATGTCACCTTGGAAGCTCATGAAGGAGAGAAGTAATACAGCTCAGTATCAGACAAAATCTGCAGTGTCAGTGTCATCAGTGTGTCTTATAGTGTGCTGAAAGAAGACAAACTCTCCCCAAATGTTGCTGCTTCTTTTTCTTACAGCTATTCATTTGCGATTGTGGGCATTAACATAACAGACCTCGCATACAATCTGCTTGTGAGCGGAGCTCTGAAGACCCATTTCTACAACGTTGCTCCAGAAGCACCAACACTAACTCACTTTCAGCAGACGTTCTGTAAGTTGCAGGGGGATGGGAAATACATAATTTGTATACCTGCTAACACTTTTGTACCACCCATAGTCAAAAAATCCCCACAAGCTGCTGACACGGCACAGAGACTAACATGCTAGTCTTACTCTTCTGTCTTTAGGATGCTTAGGTTCAGTTCTTAAGTGTGCTGAATGCCACTACCAAACCAAGGGGTAAACCAAACAAAATAAACCAAAACAAAACCCAAAAGAACGCAAAGAGAAACCCCACCAAGTACCTGAAAAAGTGACTTTCCTATATTCTTTTACTGGTTTTAAATAATAAACTAAAGGTACTTTAAAGAGATTCTGGGGATTGCTTCCTCATAAATCCAACTGTCTTAAGATGTTTGTGTGATATTCATACACTTAATATTGAAGTGTTGCCCTCAACCCTTCAGTGGAGTTATTCCCCCTCAAAATAATGCTTTCACCTGTATTCAAGCATCCGTTCTACAACACAGACCTGCTATGCATCCTAGCACAGTGGGAGCAACACTTCTAATATTTTTCAATATATGAGCAAGAAACATGACAAGAAGTCAAGATGCACTATTTTCCACGTTTATGATGATTGCAAAGGTTTTGGTTGGTTGGTTTGTTTTGGGTTTTTTTGAGTTTGGCTATTTAGGTAACAGGTTTTCTGGTTTTCAGCTATAATATGATTCATATTTTCTTATTGATTAACTGGATAAATGGCAAATATTAGTGTCCATTATGGTGACACTGGAGGGAGAGCTGATTTTGACACTTCTTCCATCTACAGCCCACGCATGTATGTGTTATGAAGCAGGATAAAACTTGCGCAGGTCTCTGGTGTAGTTATGGGCCAGTAAAGGTGGTGGGTGTTCCTGCCCACTCTGCCTGCCATCCTAGGAAAAACTTGAGATTATCAAATGGACTTTACTGTAGCGAAAGCATCAACAGACAAACTTCCCTGGAGCAAAGACGATTCATTCAGACATTATCTGTTTGAGTCTGACAAATCCCTGCTCTTTTATGCTCTTGCAGTTTCTCTCCTCTGCCTACCGCAGTCATCCTAGGTTTCCTTCAAATTTCGCTCAAACCCAGACACCATTAGGCTGCATCAGATGCCTACAGGCTGCCTGACTGAACTGGGAAGTCAAAATTGCATGAAACTATATCGCTCAATGGCATGCTCAACACAGTCACTGCTGAAGTACAGAACATACCTCCTGGAAATCTCTTAGGTTTTGGGAGGTGAAGATCTAACAATGTTTTACATTTTATATTGGGATTTTTAAGGGATTTTACTGAGCTTTTTTTTGAACGTAATGTATCTTGGAATGAAAAAGCCTGTGGCTGTTGGAGTATATGGAAGAGATTTAAAGGCGTACTTAAAATACACTTTGAATTAAGTTTCTCAGACTGATGATTGAGAAAAAATATGACTATGCAAATATACCTTGAAAATTAACTTAGAAGTATGTGTGTTGTAATTGTCATAGAATAGAAAAAAATGGATAAAAGCAATTAAGCCTTTTTTACAAGAAATGTCCTCACTTTCTGGAATACAGAAAACTTACTTGCACAGATTGCTGTGTTGGGATGAAAGGTTATACTTCTTCAGTGGTTCATCTGCTGTGGAAGTTGGGTCCAGTTCATTTAAGTCCCAGTGCTGGATGTAACATTTTCCTGTCATTGAAACTCTTTGAGTCCAAGGGTGACACAGAACTGAGAGGGTGAAGGCCTTATCAGAGCCTGTTTGTTAAACCCACAGTAGTATCAAGTTTCTCCCTATAACAGGGATATCTTCCCAAAGCTGGTGGCTCTGGGTATCACCTTATCATTCATCTTTGTGGAATCATAGGAATAAACAACATTTCCAGCAAGGTTATGCACACACAAGGTAAAATTGTGCACGAGGAGGAAGTCTTAATACAGAAGGATGTGGTGATGACTGTTATGTTACCTACAAGTTTGCTCCTTTTTTAGTGAAGAATAAGCAATGTTCTCATGAGGAAATACCTGTGAGGCAGAACTACATACACAAAAGACTGGTGGAGCAGCCTCAGCAGCATCTTCCCCTGTTTTTATATTCAATAGTTTAATGTTTTAGTTCATGTGTCCATATGTCAAGACAACTAGTGACTTCTTGTATTGCACTGTGAGAAGTTCTGCCAGTGTATAATATTCATCAGGTTTTGGGTTTGTCCAAAATAAGTTTAGTCTTGTCCCTGCATAGTGTTGTGAGGTGTCAGACCTCAGTGAGCAGGATTCTGTGTGTAAATCATAATTGTTAATTGCAGGTCTATTCCTGATTTTGTGTGTGATCTTTTCGCGTTACCTTTATCTCTTCCTCTTCTCCTTTTTTTGTTATTTTGAAGGCTACTTAATGCATGAATTCCACAAATTCTGGATTGAAGAGGATCCTCTGGACATAATGGAGTTCAATCGCGTCAGAGAGAAATTTCACAGGCGAATCTTGAAACAGCTCCAGAACCCAGAGATGGCTCTGTGCCCTCATTTTGCTGCATCAGAAAGTTTAGTCAATATGTAGTTACTCACCCAATTTTATTTGGAAACACTGCCTCACTCCTGTGTTAGATCACTGTTTAGACCATCACTAGCATACTGAATGACCATGGCGATTGTATGCATGTTTTTGGTGCAGTATTCATCTACTTTTGTCACACATGCTAGGTCCCCTTATGCTTCTCTTGTCGGGGATTTCTCATTTCAAATGGACGCTCATATTGCAGCATTTTGCAGCATTACATTATGAATTGATGTCCAGGTATCAGAGTTTTTCTATTTTTTTAGACTTTCCTCATAATTCAGCATTGACAATTGCATTGTATTTCTCTAGTTGTGTTTTTGTATATGTGGAATTAGTAGCTGGATCTTGTATTGTGAAAGCTTTTTAACTTCTTGGTATGTTTTAAGATAACTACTGGCATTTCAAGCGAAATACATGTTTGGACCTCGTCTAGAAGATAATGTGTGTAATTTAATCTGATGCAGGCAAACACATTAAAGTCCAATTTTGTCCATGCAGCCATATATGCTTAATGCAGAATTAATGAGGCTTACGAGATACAAGTTTTAGTGAGAAGAGTTTATGCAGAATTACAATCAGACTCCACAGCTGCATGAATACCAAATGATCTGGTGATGCTAATACATTCACAGTGAACTGCAAACACACTTACACAACTACTGGATACTGGTAGGGGCCAAAATGATATCAACAGGCTGTTGTCACCAACACCACCATGCTTAAGCATGGTCTGAATTCCTGCACATTCCTTTGAAGATACAGGGGTTGGTATTTTGTGTCACATGTTGGAAGGCCACGTGGTTTGGTCACGTAGTGCTTGGTGAATTCAGGGGAGCAAAAATCTATTTATTTTTCTGAAGTACTGAAAATGTTGCTTTGGTTCTCAATTCAGTTCCTAAGGACTGGGAGAAATAATTGATTAGACGGTGTAGGACAAAACCACTTGATTTTCCCAGACTAATTACAAAAAAAAAATTAAAAATGGCAAACTGCCTCTTTTCTAAAAAAATAAATGAGTAAAAGTGTCTGATGCTAAGATTGTGTAGTATATTGAAGAGCATTTACCATGGCATTTCACACCCATGGTATTTTTTACCTTCTAAGCAATCAATTTTAGTATTATATGTTTGTGTAAATCACTTGCATATGGAAATTAAATTGAGTAGTGTCCAACTACTTGTGAATTACGAATAAATTATATGTCATTCTAAACTAAAGCACTGTGGGTTGTTGTGGTTTGTTGTGATTTAGGTTTTTTTGAGATATGCAGTAATACAGCTGAAAGCTATTTTAGTTTAATGGATCAGGTAAAAGGGAATGTAACAGCTTTCTGGTTGTGCCCTGGTCTGAAAAGTGATCTGGACTTCCTCGGATCAGGTTCTTTATACCATTTCTAGTTACAACTTGGCCATCTCTTTGTAAGTAAAAAATAAAGCAATGAGAGTGGTTAAAGTTTTTGAGAAAATTCTCCTTGGATTTAAGCCCTCTCATTTCTTTGCTGAAAAGTAAGATGGGCATCAAGACTTCTCTGCAGGGCTGGAAACTTGCACTAATTGTGGAGTTAATTAGCAAAACTCTATGGGTGTTGCAATAATTAGTCTTCTCTAATGAATTTAGAAATATGAAATTGGAAATACTATTTTTGCATGAAAATAAAAGGAATAAAAGCTGTACATGTTCAACTTATTACCATTGATTCTGGAAAGTGGTTATTTATAATCATTCGATATCAGGGACTTCTTTGCATCACTCTTGAAGCTTCTCTAATAAGTTTCTAGCAGCAGTTTTCATTGTTTCAAATCTTAGACTCTGGCTTTCTTTCACTGTCCCACTCTGACTCAAATACCTGCTGCAATTTGTTAGGCTTTGCTGGTTTATTTTTTATATCTGCACTGAAATTCATGGAGGTAGGGGAGAAGGAGGCGTGAAGGTCTCTGCTACCTTCTTACTGATGTGATCCTCTCAGTTAGGCCTGGTCTTAAGGTGTCAGCTTCAAATAAAATCAGAAGAAGTCATCTGGCTCCATGTCAGATGGTGTCACTACGGTCTGGCTGCTTTGGGTGATGGTTTTTCCTGCCTTGCAGGGAGCTGGATTCAATGAAGCCAAGTGTGAAATTCCTCCTCCTGTGGAGCCCCTGCACACTGTTGCCTACAGATCTTATTGTCCTGCCCACTCATGCTCCAGCTTTGGCCTGTGACATCCTTGCTCTCCCAATCCTTGTTGAAGCTGGGGCAGAGGATGTTCCTGGTGACTGCCAAAACTGGCTGTGCACTGCTGAGGGGATGTCTGGCTGGCACTGCCTTCCCTGCTCCCCAGAAATGGCTTCATACTACCATGCAAACCTAAACTTCTGTTTAAAAAATTGAAATTTACACTGTCACTAACACATCCCCAGACTAACATGTGAGGAACTGGGTGCTGCTTTCCCTAGGGAGGAGAAAATTAAAGAATTTAAGGGGAAAAAGAGTTATAAAAAGTTGTTTCAAGAAAGTAGCATCAAATATTTACACTCACCACAGAGTGCAGATTTTGGTTTAATTAGGAGTAGAGAAGATTTAGGTTGGATCTTTTGAAAAACTTTCCACAGCCTCATGGTTGCTGCACTTCACCTGACATCTCCTCTCCTGGAATCTCCTGTGTAGCCATCTGGGTGCCTGCTGCTGGGAAAATGTCACCCCTGGCCCTGCATGGCTCGGGCACCGAGTGCTGCCTGCCCGGCCTGAAAAGGCCTTTGGTACCTTTCTTTTTTAACAGGCAAATAATTCACATTGGCAGCACTATGCAACCCAGGTGTTTTAAAAAGGCACAGCCAGGTTGTAAGTCTGAGCTGCTAATTTACTTTATAAGACACTGTTGCTATACAGAATATGTCTTGCTTTGGGCAGGTAGATGAAAACTGAATTGATGAAAACATTATATTGACAAATTGTCTGTGATTTAAAATGCAGCAATGCTTACGTAGATCTCCTTAAAACCAGAAGAGAGGGTCGTGTGTTTTGCTGTAGTTCTTTAATTCTCTATGCAGATTTATACAAGGATGTATTTCTCTATGTTACAGATTCAGCCATTTCCCATAGCACAGTGTTTCCTTATCCAGACTAATGTGAATTTAAATTGTTGCCAGGGCTCTTTTAACAGCATAGGTAGATGCTGATCTATCTTCAGTAACCTCGGTGCTCCACTGGCATCTGTGGAGCTGGGGCTGTGAGCACTGGCAGGGTCTGTGCTGGGGTTTTGATTACAGCCAGGAGGAGAGCGAGGGCTGCCTCCCATCTTTTTTTTCTTCCTTTGGGGAGAATTATTTTTGCTGAGGTCCTTACTGGCTCTTTCAGAAGGTACTTTTGCAAATGCTGGTGGTATTTCTATGTACCATTTTTAGAAGCAAACAAAGGCCATCTTATCTACGCAGTTTGTCTTAAAGAATTGTATCTCCTGGCTGTTATCTGCAGCAGCACTGAAGGTGGACTGGAAAATTTCCTGTCATGCAGAGGGTAAAGGGGATTAATTCTTTGTCTGTGTTAATGGAAGAGCAATCTTTAAAAGCACCTATACCTGCTGTGTGGTCTGTGCTGCATGCCCTGTGGGGCACAGCTGGTAGTGATGGGGCTTAGTGGTGCTGGCTGAAACACATTGCAGCCAGCAGAGAATTTTCAGTGCGTTCCCAGTTGAAATAAGTGCTGTTAGGTGGAGCAGGATGTATGTGAACAGAGTGCTGATGCTTGAGTTAATGAACCCAGATCTGCTGCTGCTGGTCCAAAGAATCACTGGTAGCATCGCGCACACACTTTTCTCCTTTACGCAGTTGGGATGCTGGTTTCCTTCTTAATCCTGCCCTTCATGGGCTGTGGTTAGCTTTTAACATTTCATTTACTGACTTGTCCATATTTTCCATAATGTGACCTGAGGTTTTTGACCCTTCCACAGAGGCAGTCAGCACTGCAAGGCTGTCCCTTAGCAGGGTCTTGCAGATCGGAGTAATTTCTGCATGAGGTCTAGAGGAAACCTCAATCTGCAGCTCTGCCATGCGGATGGATCTGACTGAAGTAGGAACCAGTCACAGCCTGAAACAGTAACTGTGTGCAATTCTGTAAATGCTAAGTTCATGTGTTTAGTAAGTACTGTTGGGAAATGGTAGAACTCTGTATATACTGTTGTGAAATAGGGGAACTTTGTATATACCTCCCTCTGTTCTCCAGCTGGCTCTTGACAAGCTTGACATTGTCAACATGTGCCCATTTTGGCATCAGAGGACGACCCCTCTGTGAATGACTCTCATATCATCTCTGGTTTTCAGAGAACCGGTCTACTTTCTTGGAATCTCGCTAGCCACCCTCATTTTCACCTCTCACTCCTTGCCTGCCATTTGGTCCAATGTGAGCTGGAATTTTGCACTAATGAATCCTTCAGGCTGCACTGAGAGAAACCCACCATGGCTCTCTGTACACTTGCATCTGCAGCATGGTGCAGCTAAAAATCACATGAATTATTAAAATAGATGTTTTGCAGAAAGCAATCTTGAAACAGATAAGAAAATGAATTATTCATTGTTTTCCTTAGTTTGTGGCAGTGCAGGTTTTCTGTAAGACTCACCAAGGATTAGACAGGAGTCTTCCTACATGATCATGTAGGAATATAGCGAGGCTGGCTTTGTGCTTTCCCCTGTGAGCAGCACACATAGAAATCAGATCATTACTTATTCTAGTAAAGGAAATTGTTTTTCTCGATATAGAACTATAACTAGAAAAAGAGATTTAGCTTTTAAAACCTCCAAGCAAGGACTGGGTACAGCAGCTTCGATCAAAATGAACTATGGGGAATGGTGGAGGGTGTGTTACTCGTGTTGCTGTGTTCCTAGGCCTGGGCTCCCTTGTACCAAAGGAGTGCAAAAATGCGTAACTGAAGGTGGTCTATGCCCCAGAGAGCTGCAGCCTGAAACAAGAGAGCAGAGCAAGAAAGGGAAGTGTGGGGTCAACACCTACCAGCACAGCAAAGCAGAGCAGCATGAGAGGAGCTGGAGAAAGGGACAGGAGGAAGCTCCTTGTATGTTTATGGGCAGTTTTTTCTCAGTTGCAAGGGAAACCAAGGAAGGCACTTGGAGATGACTGTGAAAAAAACAAAAGACAACAGGGCATGGCACTGCTACATGCTGGAAATGAGGACAGACACATCCCTGGTGGATACAACGACGCTGAGAAGGTCCTTGAGAGAAGAACACAGTCCAGAGTGAGAGAGTGCCTGTTGAAGGGGGGATTCACAGAGATGCTGGTGTGAAAAACATGAGACTGGTGTGATTGGCACAGAGAGCTCAGCAAGGGCTGTGTGCCAGGGTCCTGAATGGGTCTGAGAATGCCCACACTGCATGATCCAGGGCCCAAGAATATCTGGACAACTTTGGGGGCAAATTTTGCTTCTGGGAATGGATAAGAAAGGCTGTGCTTCTCAAGAGAGGCCAGTCAGGAAGTATCAACAAGATGTAGACATAGCCTAGATGAAAAGCCCTAAAAGAGGGGTTAGGAAGAAAAGTGGAGCCTTTGGTCATGGTCCAGAGACAAGATGGGAGGGTTCTCCACAGCTGCAAAGAGCTTTGCAGGCACATCAGGCTTAAGTGGGCAGGGAGTTTTTAGGAAACTATGAGCAGCTTGAGGCTGTAATACAGACATCAGGATAAAAGTCTGGACCAGAGAGAGCTCTGTGACTCATGGACAGGGAAAGAACTGCCAAGACTGTGCTTGCTAACAAGATTAACCAGGGAGAAAATGTTGAAGCAGGAATTAAAAATAGACAAATGGGACAGCCTTGTGGAGAGTCCCATGGATAGAAAGAATCCTCCACAGGACCTGTGGCAGTACTGATCAGAAAGGTGGAAGACAGGACAGTGCAGTCTCGGGAATTAGGTGCAGACCAAATTTGAGAAAACAGCCATGGTCACCTGTGTCAAAGGCAGTTGACAGCCAAATGCTCTATCTTTTGCCTGATGATGTACTCTATTTGGAGCAGATTCATTTTAGTCCATCCAACAAAGCACTTGTGCAGTGCCCATCTCACTGCAGGCCAATCAGCAGTGCATGCACCCAGCAAAACCAGTACCAAAATCATCAAAAGTGGTAAATCAGCTCAGCCCCTTAGCTTTTGTCCCCTGCTCTTGTCAAACCAAGGCATCCTCCTGGCAAGACTCAGAAAATAAGCAAACATTACTTGAGCACACGAGCCCTC